GGGACCAGTCTCTGGAAAATGACATCATGCTTGGTAAAGTTGAGTGTCAGTGAAAAAGAGGAAGACCCTCAATGAGATGGACTGACACAGTGGCTGCAACAATGGGCTCAAACATAGCAACAATTGTGAGAATGGCGCAGGACTGGATGGTGTTTCATTCCGTCATATGTAGGGTTGCTGTGAGTCGGAACTGACTCAAGGACACCTAACAACAGCAATATTCATAATGCAGGGGGCAGTGGGAGGAAATACCTGAAAAGCCAGTATTGGGGGGATTGTTTATGTGAATTAGGCTCATGAACTTGATGGAGTATTAGGCATCCGTTCAAAATGATAAGCTGTACTAATAAAACAACGAAAAGGGTGAAATGCCATAGTCTGTACGTCTGTGATAAGAACCATATAAAATTATATGTGCATATGAGTGAACTAAAAGCAGTTGATTTGTTGAGTCAGGATTATAAGTACCTTTTTTTCTTCTTTCATTGAGTCTTCTATTTATGTGTATGTGTAATGAAAATGTAAAATGTGTGTTTAGGGTCACATTTAGAAATATTTCTCCTTAGGGATGGATTCGTTCAGTCCGGTCCCAGAAGGAAGTCTTGTTCCTGCATGTAAATGATGGGTCATCTTTGGAAAGCCTTCAGGTTGTTGCAGATTCAAGCTTTGACAGTAGGTAAGTTTAATAAAAAGAATCCTCTGGGTTTTTTTTCATCTTTGGTTCCCACTTCCGTAATCTAGTTATCTGAGTTACCTTTCTAAACGAATCTACTTTCTATATCTTTGAAGATCAAGTCCGAAAATACTTTGCATCAAGATCCTTCAAGCTCAGGCCTTCCTCTCTATCTATCATGTTTATGTGTTGGTATCCCCCACCTGTGCTTTGCTTCAGTCTTTCTTAACTACTTCAGTTCTCCTAACCTGTTCCGCTCTTTCTTGTCTTCTAGCTCTTGTACATGTTGCTGCCCCTGCCTAATATGGCTTCTCCTTTTTCACTTGGCGTTCACAGTTCCAGTTTAGGCATCATGTGATGTTCCCATCCCTTGACTCTGCCCCGTGCCCCTGCTCTGTGCTCTCATAGCCGCCTGTGTCTGTCTGTCATAGAACTTACCTCATTGAACTGTAAGCAACTCTATTTTTATTTGACTCGTCCTGTTAGACTCTTAGTTCCTTGAGGTCAGGGATGATGCCTCATTCATTTTTATATTCCTGCCTTTTAGCACAGTGCTGAGAAAGTAACCAGTTATTATTTGTTAAATAAATGGAAGAAACTCTTATGGTTTTATTTATCAGATTTTAAAACTAACACCATCTTTAGGTTAGAGCATGAGCACTGCGGAGCAGAACGTTATTGTAATTTGTTAGGAGAAGTGTGCTTTGTTATTCCAAGCACTGCTGAGGTTCCTGTTCTCCGTGTATTAAATAGGTTCCTGGGTCTCAGGTATTTGGTCAGTGAGGCAGAACACCAAAAAAATTATTCTGATGTAATAGTAACCATTTTTAAAAGTTTATAGTTTGTTGATTACAAGATTAATACATGCTCATTGTTTAAACTTGAAATGTAGTAAAGTTTTACAAATCGTTCATCTTTCATAATCGTGAAAATTTTTAACGTTTTGCTGTAATCTCCTCTGTTCTTATTTCCATGGATGTATATATTTTACTACATAATTTGGTTTATAATATACATATATAGTTTTACGGCCTCTTATTACACCTAACATTTATCTTGAACATTTTTCCATGTCAAAAACTCTTCAATAACATCTTTAATGGTTTTATAATATTCTATAAGGTAGATGAATTGAAATGAATTTAATAATTGCCTTTATTGTTACACATTGAAGTTTTTAATTTTTTCTATAGAATGTCACTAATGTAACATTTTTGTACATAAATCTATGTCTTTATGTCTGATTATTTCTTTATTATAGATTTTTAGAAGTGGCATTACTGGATCAAGAAGTAGGAACATTTTAAAAGCTCTTGCTTTAAAGTGACAAATATAAAGGCTGTTCACTCCTAGAAGTAGGGTATAAATATTCGTCTTAGCGGGCCTTTGTCAGCCTCGAGTAATTTATCATCTTTAAAGAAACAAAACTGGGACAAGAAACTCTACAAATGTGATTCCATCTTTAAGAAACATTTTGACCTATTTTGCAAGTCTCTTCTGTTAGTAGCTTTCTGTTTATAAGCCTGATGGAAGGTGTTAGAGAGAATAGAATCAGAGAGTATCACTCCAAAGCATTTGTTAATTTGTTCACTGAAAAAAATATCTCATTGCTAGGAATCATCTTAATCCCAAATAAGCTACAGTATGCATATTTCCGATAGCTGACCATCTGCAAATTTAGTCTAGGCAAGATTTTTCAGTCTGGTCCAGATCATCTGTAGAATTGTAGAAGTGATCCTGTTTCGTTGGAGAGTGGAGCACAGTTTTCAATAAGATGATTTTCTTCTTTTATGGTGTTCCTGATTGTTTTTTTGTTTGTTTTTGACTTGTGGCTTTTGATTTAAAAACAACATTAACAGAAAATGTCCAACTCTAATACAAGTCAAAGTAAAGTTGGTTACATTTAATTTCAATGTTGTTCTTTTACATTGCATCATAAACCAAAAAAAAAAAAAAGAAAAAAACCAAACCCATTGTCATTGAGTTGATTTCAACTCATAGCGACCCTATTTTACTACTCATTCATTGTGTAAAATTTCAAAGCAAGTTTACTGTCATCCAGCATTCACTTAATCAGAGTTTTCTAATAATTGGTACCTCCTTGCATTTTTGGTATAAATAAAGTTTGCAATGATAACATTAAAGCTCTAAAAGATACCAGAAAAATTTAAATTATCCTGTATTATTGAGAAGCATAGTAAAACTATGTATGCCTGGTGTGAATGTTAATTTGTTTCCGCATTTAACTGGGAAATTTCTTTCCCTCACCTGCAGAATAGCAACATTTATTATAGTTTTATGGCAGTGAATCTTTCATTTTGTTATTTAACTAAATGGCCTTGTAGGTGTGGTTTTGGAGAATCATTAGTAGTCATTGAATGAATGAATCCCTTTGCAGCTCACTTGGAGCATACTACATAGAGTTGCTTAAGTTATAAGAAGGTAAATCACAAATCAATGCCTGCTGTGGACTGTCTGCACTTGTGGTGCTGGATTTGAGGCTCATATTTGAAATCACTGTTCGTTTTCTCTGTCCATGGCATTTTAATGGTATAGCAGTTACATAGATGTGTCTAATGGCACCTAAATTTTGGATGCTCTGGAGGATGACTGCCTGTCCCTTTGAAGTATTCTGAAGAGCCCCAGGAATGACATTCTTATATGTCAGGTACTTTGCATTTTGAGTCAGAGCATCTAAAAATACCCTTCTACGTTTGGTGAAAGTATACTAGGTTTTTTTCTCCCATGATGCAGTAATGGACAATCTTATTTATACAAGTTATATAATAATAAATGTAAAAGAAAATAGCATATCTTACAAAGAAAATAGCTTATCAACAAGCAAAGAAAACTAGATGAGGAATCTGACAAATTTACTTTAAAATATAATACACTTTCTTGAAGAAGGCCTTTATTATCACAATTATAAAGTGTTAGAGTTATAAAGGATTTTATGATCGTTTACTCCAACCTTTTTAATAGATGACTTCTTAAAACAAATGAGGTTAGATGGCTTTCCCTGGTAGTCATATAGGTAATTTGTGGATGAACTTTGACTAAAACCTAGATTAATTAACCAGAAAGCACTTCTATATGTGCTCAAACTATCAGCCAACTACCTTTTTTTTTTAATTTTAAATAATATTTTATTGTTTTCGGTGAAAACTTACACAACAAATTAGGCTCCTGTTTAACAATTTCTGTATCTGTTGTTCGGAGCCCTGGTGGCACAGTGGTCAAGAGCTCAGCTGCTAACCACAGGGTCAGCAGTTCGAATCCACCAGCCACTCCTTGGAAACGCTATGGGACAGTTCTACTCTGTCCTGTGGGGTCACTATGAGTTGGAATTGACTCAACGGCAGCAATTGGTATGGTATATTTATTGTTCAGTGACATTGATTACATTTTTCACATTGTGTCAGCATTCTCATTTCCATTCTGTTTCTGGTTTTTCTGTTTCCATTAATCTAGCTTCCATGCCCCATGTTACCTTCTCATCTTTGCTTTGGAGTAAATATTGACCATTTGGTCTTATGTAGATGATTATTTAAAGGAGCACAGTACTCACAGGTGGTATTCTTTATTTTATGAGCCAATCTATCATTAGGCTGAAAGGTGACCTCCGGGAGTGGCTTCAGTTCCAAGTTTAAAGGGTATCTTGGGGCAGTAGTCTTGGGCGTTCCTCTGGTCTCTACTGGTCCAGTAAGTGTGTCCTTTTTTAGGAATTTGAGTTTTGTTCTACATTTTTCTCCCTTTCTGTACAGGACCATCTATTGTGTCCCTGGTCAGAACAGTTGTTAGTGGTAGCTGGGCACCATCTAGTTCTTCTGGTCTCAGGATAGATGAGGCTGGGGTTCGTGTGGGGTATTAGTCTTGTCAACTAGTTTCTTCTTTGAGTCTTTGGTTTCCTTCCTTCTCTTTTGCTCCAGACAAGTACGGACCAATAGTTTTATCTTAGATGGCCACTCACAAGCTTTTAAGACCCCATACATTACTCACCAAACTAGGATATAGAACATTATCTTTGTGAACTATGTTATGCCAATTGACTGAGCCAACTAACTTTTTGTTAAAAGCTTTTTCTTTTGAAATAATAGTAAGTTGCAAGAAAAGTACAGAGAACTCTCACATCCAGGCTTTCCCCAAGGAAAACATTTTACATAACCATAGTACCTCATCAAAACCAGGAAATTGGGACACAACAGAGAGTCCCTGATAGAGCAGCAGGGAAATGGGGTGCAGAACTCAAATTCTAGTAAGAAGACCAGACTTAATGGTCTGACTGAGACTGGAGGTACCCTGGAGAACATGGCCCCTGAACTCTCTCTAAGCCCAGAACTAGAACAATTTCTGAGGCCAACTCTTCAGACAGGGATTGGACTGGACTGTGGGACATAAAGTGATACTCGTGAAGAGTGTGCCTCTTAGTCAGGTAGATACAAGAGACCAAGGGGCAGCTTCTGTCCAGAGATGAGATGGGAGGGCGGAGAGGGTTAGGAGCTGGTTGAATGGACATGGGGAATCAGGGGCGGAAAGGAGGAGTGTGCTGTCGCAGAATGGGGTGAGCAGTTAGGGTCACATAACAATTTATGTATAAAATTTTGTATGGGAGACTAACTTGAAATGTAAACTTCATTTAACTACAACAATGAAAAAAGGGGGGGCTTGAAAAAAAATATTTTAAGACTCAAGATTACAGTGATATTCAGGTCCATATTTTGATAGCCAATAAAGAGATTAAAGTGGAAAAAAAAAAACAGGAAATTGGTGCTAGTACAGTATTATAACTAAAGTACAGACCTTATTCTGATTTCATCAGTTTTTACATGCAGTCTTTTTTTTTTTCTTTTATTTTTTGACCAACTGAATTTTGATAAGGATAATTGTATAACCCCTAATTCCAAATACTTGTATGGTTCTCTATTCCCTATTTAAAACTTATGAAGTTCAGATTTATAATTTTGATATTCAGTAGAGCATCCATAGATCTGAAGACTAACCCAATCAAGTGTAACAACTTGTATCATTAATACTTCAATGCTCTAATAGCAAGGTTTGTTTTTAGATAAGGATTACCTGTAATGATATTTTGTGTATCTGGTTTTTGTTTTTGTTGTTGTCATTACTATAGAGAACTGGCTTTTGGGAGCTCTGTGGAAGTTCAAGGGCAGCTGGTAAAAAGTCCTTCCAAAAGACAAAATGTGGAACTGAAAGCAGAAAAAATTGAAGTTGTTGGAAATTGTGATGTTAAGGTATGCCTTCTGACACTTTTACAGAGCCTGTTTAGACTTAACTTCTAAATGACATATAAAATCAAGAATCAAATCCTAAGACTTCTGAAAAAAATAGACCGAAAATAATTGGAACTCAGAGAGGAATGCAGAAGATAACCATTTGTTGTTGTTATTGTTTAAGAAGAATCTGTGATTATTCACTGTTCTGACTGGTTCTCCTTTGGCTTATGTTAGTGTTGATGCCTTCATCATCCTTTCCCCTTCAGTTCAGTGTCATTTTAAAGTATTCAAATATTAGAGAATTCTGAACCCCGAGCAATCCCCAGATTTTTATTAAGGTCACATTTTCACTTTAGTAAGTATGGTGCGTGTTTCTGCATGACATGTAAATTAGTATGTGCACAAGGCCTAAGAGACAATATTAAAATAAACAAGCTACAAATGTAACTTAGCTTCTCAGTTATCTTTTGTATTGAAACTTTGTTTTTTATCTGATAATATGCTTCTGTGCTCTTGGTCTTATAACATAAGGATGGGAAAAATAGAAATATTTCTAAGTGGAGCCATAATTTCCTTTAAAATATTTTGTATACCTGCACTATTCTGCCAGATAAAAGAAAGCTCCTCACCCTCTCTCATGTTCTCAGACACTATTAATGTGTTGATAAACATGCCAATTGATTATGAATGCTTATGGATTTTCAAGACATTTGGGCAGAATTCAAACCCAGGTCTCTCTGATTCCACCCCACCATTGTACTACCTTTTGGAATTAATGTGTGTCTATAATCAGTTATGTTAAGAAATAAAGAAGGACAGCATCTTAGTTTTTTTCCAAACCACTACTATTTAAGACAGGCCCTGGAAATTGATTTTATAAAACAGTATCATTTTTACCTTCTAATTTGTTTTTTTTTATTGGCAGACTTTCCCTTTTAAATATAAAGAGAGGCATCCTCTGGAATATATGAGACAGTATCCTCACCTTAGGTGTAGGACTAATGTTCTGGGTTCTATATTGAGGGTTCGCAGTGAAGCCACAGCTGCCATTCATTCTTTCTTTAAGGTAAGGCGCTTTGCTTCTAGGTGTTCTCTCTTGGAATAATTGTAACACTGGAGTATTATCCTGAAAGTCCCATTTGTTGTTTATTCCAAGTACCCTTTACTTGTGTGTTTACTGGATCAGCTGCCACAGGCATGCGTGTGTGTGTGTGTGTGTATGTGTATATGGTATATATGTGTGTGCGTGTATATAGTTTAATAGCTTTTTTGAGGAATAAATGGCATAAAACAAACTGTACATTTTTAAAATGTATGATTTGGTATGTTTTGACATATGTATATTTCTGTGAAACCTTTACCACAAATCAAGATAATGAACATATCCACCACCCCAAAAGTTTCCCTGTGGCCCTTTCTAGTCCCTTCAGTTCCTTCTTGTCCCTCCCCATCCCCAAGCAACCACTTATCTGCTTCCTTTTACTATAAATCAGTTTGAATTTTATATAATTTTATATAAGAGAATTATGCAATATGTAATCTTTTTTTGTCTGACTTCTTTCACTCAGCGTAATTATTTTGAGATTCATCCTTGTTGTTGTGTGTATCAATAGTTTGTTTTTTATTGTTGAATAATATTCCATTGTATGGATATGCTACAGTTTATGTATTTACCTCTTGATGGACATTTGGGGTGCTTCCAGTTTTTTGGCTATTGCAAATAAAACAGCTGTAAGCCTTTATGTACAGGTCTTTGTACGGACATACTTCCTTTTCCCTTGGGTAAATACCTGGGAGTGGAATGGATGTATTACATAGTAGGTGTCTGTTTAACTTTTTAAGAAACTTCTAAACTGTTTTCTAAAATGGTTTTCCATTCCTGCCAGAAATGGGAGAGTTCTAGTTTTTCCACATCCTTGCTAACACTTGATAGTGTCTTTTTAATTTTAGCCATTCTAAGTGGTGTGTAGTGGTATAACACTGTGGTTTTAATTTGCATTTTCCTATTGACTAATAATGTTGAACATCTTTTCATGTGCTTATTTGCCATCTGTATATATTTTCTTCAGTGAAATATTCTTCAGATATTTTGCTCATTATTTGTGTTATTTGTTCTCTTCTTGTTGAGTTTTCAGAGTTCTTTGTATTTTCTGAATAAAGTCCTTTGTCAGATACTGTCTTTGTGAAGGTTTTCTCTTAGAATGTAGCTTGTCTTTTCATGCTGTTAATAGTGTCTTTTGAAGAGCAAAAGTTTTTAATTTTTTAGCCCAGTATGTCAATTTGTTCTTTTAAGGATTGTGCTTTTGGTGTTGCATCTAAGAAATTTTTGCCTAACCCAAGGTCACAAAGATTTTCTCCTATGTTTTCTTCTAGACATTTTATAGTTTTAAGTTTTACACTTAAGTTTGTGATTCCTTTTGAATTAATTTTTGTGTATGGTGGGAGGTATGGATTTAGGTTTATTTTTTGTGCATATGAATATGCTGTTGTTGCAGGACCATTTTTTGAAGAGGCTGTCCTTTCTCCACTGCATTGCCTTTCTTTGTACCTTTGTCAAAAATCAGTTGTCTATATGTTTGGATTTATTTCTGGACTCCCTATCCTGTTCCATTGATCTATTTCTCTATCTTTACACCTATCCTGTTCCATTGATCTGTTTCTCTATCTTTACACCAGTAACATGTTGTTTTGATTACTGTAGCCTTATAATAATTTTTGAAATCAGGTAGTGTTAGCCTCCACCTTTTTGTTCTGCTTCGGAGTTGTTTTAGCTATTCTAGGCTCCTTACATTTTTATATGAATTTTCAAATCAGCTTGTTAATTACTGTAAAAACACCTATGGGATTTTGAGTGAGATTGCATTGAATCTGTAGACTGGTTTTGTGAAGGATTGATATCTTAGCAATGTTAAGTCTTCCAAACAATGAACAAGCTTTATCTCTTTATTTATTTAGGTCTACTTTAATGCCTTTCAGCAATGATTTTGTAATTTTTAGTCTTTCACGTCTTTTGTCAGATTTATCCCGAAGTATTTCATATTTTTGGGTGCTGTTGTAACCACTCTACTGAAAAATTCAATTTCCAATTTTTCTTGCTAGTGTATAGAAATATACTTGATATTTGTATATAGGTTTTGTATCCTGTACCCTGGCTAAGCTCACTTATTAGTTCTAGTAGCTTTTTTTGTAGATTTCATCAATTTTTTTACATAGATAATCATGTCATCTGTGAATAAAGACAGTTTTACTTCTTCCTTTCCAATGTTGATGCTTATTATTTCCTTTTCTTGTCTAATTACACTGGCTGAAACCTCTAGTACAGTGTGGAATAAAAGTGGTGAGAACAGATATCTATGTTTTATTCCTGATCTTGGATGAACATTCAGTCTTTTACAATTAAGTATGATGTTAGCTGTAGATTACTCAAGGATGCCTTTCATCTGGTTGAGGAAGTTCCCTCCCATTCCTAGTTTGTTGAGAGTTTTTGTCAGGAGTGGATATTGGATTTTGTATAATGCTTTTTCTACATCTTTTGAGATGACCATGTGATTTGTTTTGTTTTTATGTAGTGAATTACATTGATTGATTTTTGAATGTTAAACCAACCCTACATTCCTGGGATAAACCACACCTGGTTGTGGTGTATTATCCTTTTAACATGTTGTTGACTTTAATTTGCTAAAATTTTGTTTAGAATTTTGCATGTATGTTCATGAGGAATATTGTTTTGGTTTTATCTTCTTTTAATGTCATTGTCTGGTACCGGTATCAGGATAGTGGTGGCCTCATTCGATGAATTGGGGGTGTTCCATTTCTCTCTGTTTTCTGAAGTATTTATGTAGACTTGGAATTGTATCTTAAATGTGCTGTAGAAACTAGTGAAGTCACATTGATGTGTAGAAGCTTATTTTGTTGACTTGGTTTTCTTTTATTGTGGGAAACTTTTTAACTGCAGTTTAACTTTTTACATAGATATACTACTGTATAGGATATGTTTCTTCTTGAGTGAAGAACATTGGTAGTCTGTGTATTTCTAAGAATTGATAGATTTCATTTAAGTTGTTGAATGTGTTGCTATAAAGTTGTTCATCTCACCTTACTATCCTTTTAATATCTGTAGTTCTGTAGTAATGTCACCTCTCTCATTCCTGATATTGGTAAGTTGTGTCCTCTCATTTCCTTGATCAGTCTGGCTATAGATTTATCAATTTTATCAATCTTTTTAAAGAACCAGCTTTTGGTTTCATTGATTCCTCTCTCTGTTTTTCTATTTTCTAATTCACTGATTTTCACTTTGATCTTTATTGTTTCCTTTCTTCTGCTTATTTTGATTTAATTTGTCAATCTTTTTCTAGTTTCTTCAGGTGAAAGGTCATTGATTTAAGATTTTTCTTCTTTATAATAGGCATTTAATACAATAGATTTACCCCTAAGTGCTGCTTTACAGCATGCCACAAATTCTGATATGTTATGTTTTCATTTTCTTGCAGTTCAGAGTACTTCTAATTTCCCTTTTGATTTTTTTTTTTAATCCATGGGTTATTTAGAAGTGATTATTTAGTTTCCAAATATTTGAGATTTTCCAGAGATATTTCTGTTACTGATTTCTCATTTAATTCTATTGTGGTTAGAAAGGATGCTCTATATGATTTGAAACCTTTTAAATTTGAGACTTATTTTATGGCCCAGAATATGGTCTATCTTGGTAAATGTTTTATGTGCACTTAAGAAGAATGTGTACTCTGCTGTTGTTAGGTGGAGTATTTTATAAATGTCAGTCATGTCAGGTTAGTTAATAGTGTTATTCAAGTCTACTAAATCATTTCTGCCTGCTTGTTCTATCAATTATTGAGAGAAGAGTATTGAAATATCTAACTGTAATTATAGATTAGTCATTTTCTCCATTTAGTGCTTTAGTTGATGCTTCATGTAATTTTAAGCACTTTTATTAGAGGCATAGATATTTACAATTATTATTCTTCTTGATTAATTGACCCCTTTATCATTATGAAATGACCTTCTTTATCTGTTAATATTCATTGCTTTGAACTCTACTTTGTCTGATATTATTAGAGCCTTCACAAGCCTTCACAACTTCCTTTTGATTAGTGTTAGCATTGTATATCTTTTTCCATCCTTTTACTTTTTTTTTTTAATTGTGCTTTAGATGAAGGTTTACAGAGCAAACTAGCTTCTAATTAAACAATTAATACACATATTGGTTCATGACATTGGTTGCCAACCTCACGACATGTCAACACTCTCCCCTGCTAGACCTTAGGTTCCCCATTACCAGCTTTCCTGTCCCCTCCTGCCTTCTCGCCTTCTCGTCCTTGCCCCTGGGCTGGTGTGTCCATTTAGTGTCGTTTTGTTTTATGAACCTGTCTAATCTTTGACTGAAGGGTGAACGTCAGGAGTGACTTCATTACTGAGCTAAAAGGGTGTCTGGGGGCCATACTGTTGGGGTGTCTCCAGTCCCTGTCAGACCAGTAAGTCTGGTCTTTTTTTTTTTTTTTTTTTTTTT